ATAACGCCCTGTGAAATGGATGTCGAAAGGTTTTGTCATGGGTGAGTTACACGGCGTGGGTTACACGGCAGTAAGAGTATAAACCATCAACGAGGGAGAAGAATTGGGAATGAGCACCCCTCATCACTCACCAGTGTGTCTGGCGGCCAAAAGCATAAAAAAAGATTTGGTGTCAAGGAACTTGATCATAGTCCGAACAGATGGAGTAGTCCCTACACACTTCCCAAGGTTGGGATAGGGTTGATATAGGTCTCCAATATCGGTATCCAGGATAATTCTCGCAAATACTGGTTTAAAAAGAACGGAGCATCCTGCGGGGAATATTCCGGTAAAATACAAGAGGTGTAGCAACCAGCCAACCAAACAAGCCACCACGATTTCCTTATAATTTCATAATATCCACCGTGAGAATGCTCAATGATGTTTAAATTTTATCCCAATTTCGGATATTCTGGAGGGAGGTCGTTAGGCTATCCGCAATCAGGATGAAGACTATTTTGTTTTGATGGACGCAAGAACGCCTGAAATTTGGAGGCTGTGCTTTATTCGAGCTCATATCGACGTCCCTGCGAAAAGTTCACCACTTCCTGCATAAAATATTTTTCCGACTTTTGACCAATTTTAGGCTGGTGTTTTACCGTTGAAGACCAATCTAATATGACGCAGAATCCACGGAACTTTTGAATGGAATATTCCTTAAGAAAGATAGGGTTCTTCATTTCGGAAGCTTTTCCTTTATTCGAGGTATATTTATCAACCGTGCTCTTATTCACACTAGCACAATCACACGAGCTTGCGGAGTGAATATTTATGAAGCCTTTAAACGGACACGCTAAACGCGAAGGGATTATGTGTTTATTGGACCTTGTGCAGTCAAAATGAAGCACTTATGGTCACTGAATCCCTATGTGAACCAAAATATAGTTTGTAAATTTAAAGCCTATGCGTTTTCACCTTCGACCGATCTGTGCTGCCCAGGGATGACGCCGATTAATTGCTCCGTTTGGCATTTGTAAATTTAAAGCCTATGCGTTTTCACCAATTCACCTTCGACCAACCTGTGTTGCCTAGGGATGATGCTGATTAATTGTTCCGTTCGGCTACTAGCAAGCTTCGCTGCTCAATGGAAGACGCAAAGCAGAAGTGTATTCAGATCTGAAATCGAAGCGAATAAAACGTTTCCACTTTGGCATATAACGGCAAAATGTAAGCCCCCATGAACTTGCCGGGCGATACAGCGAGTCACGTGAACATTTTGTTCAGAAGATAATCGAGCAAACTTGAAAACTAAGTAACTGATATTAAAGCAAACTACGTAGCTGCTTTTACACATGCGCAACGATGTGCGGCACTAGTGAGCAATGGCTACTCTGCTACATATACACAGGATTTGCTTGAATGCCATGCAAATTAGGCGTAGGACGAGCTATCCTCAAAAAAACTCATGACGTTGCCAGCCAGCTAGACGTGAGCTTCTAAACAATGAAAAAAATTTTAATGGGATTGTTGGTTATGCAGGTTTTTCGTCGGTACTCAAAATATCTTGTTTGCTAAAGAAATAATTATTTTAAATAATCAAAAAGTAAAATATTTCATTTTCTACTAATCTAAATACATAGCAGGAATTGCACTTTCATTTTACTTACCTCCCAGGATGACTGCTTGCCTCACAGCTGTTCAATATCCCATGAACTTTCCTATTCGGATTATCCGTATATGATGGTTAAATTCGACACAAACCGCGATGCAATCTTGGCTACTGTAGTGCCTTAAGCAGTTAAGATTAGCACCCCAAAAACGGTTAGGGTAGACGTAATATCGGGACCAAAGTTGCGGAAGCTTCTCTCTGCAGTACAAGGTTACATATATTTAATCCGGAATTCACAAAATACCAAAATATAAAACATACTTCACTCTAGTGAGTATTCTCGGATGTATTAAAACAATGTTCCGCGAAGTGCTGGAATAGTTGGTTAAAACAATCTACCCGGGGTTATTCAAGAATTTTTCTTAGCTGGTTGTATGAGAACCCCTTAGTGGTATTGAGCATGGCTCGCATGACACTCTACTTTGGTGAGCCACCCAGTCTGTGACTTTTGACGACTTACTTACTAGAAACACTGCAATCATTTGAGGAGGACTCAACCAAGATAGACGGGTTTTCAATTTTTTCTTCAGTTTCTGATTTCACAATTTGAAATCATTAGTCAAAATCTATTTTCAGGAGATTTGTTTGCATCCTCTTTGTGTACGCAATCTGATTGATATGAGCACTGTGTAAGCATATAGTAAGCAAACTTTTCATCATTGGAATGGATGCATTAGAAGACCAAAGATAATTTTAATAATCACAAGAAAATATTTTCATGCCGCTGTGAAAATATTACAGTGGTGCAATGTACATCTCAGTGCACAATGATGTGTGAAATATTTATCCAGTGTCCACATTTGTCTACAATTTCATCGTTACCACATTCGTTGGCACACCCTCTGCGAGCTCATTTGTGAATTTCTGGAAACATCGATGGAGCAGGGTGAATCTTATGCGTGGATGAAATTAGAGTCAGAATCTTGACGGTGCTGCGCATGACAGTTGAGCTTTTACCACCTCATTTGGTTATATACATACAGAGGAATCTCGCGTGACATTCGTAGTTGTTGTTGCTGCAATTTCCTGTATCGATCTTTGGCTGCGTAAAGATTGATATGAGAATTGTTAGCAATCATAATGCGGTCCAAAGCACCACAAGAAGTCTTCACAACACTAAGGATGCTGATTTGTTATTTCAAACTGCAAGTGAATGCAAGGTGCACATTTCCAACACCCGGTTGACCGACACCGAAAAGTTTCAAGACAGGTGCGGTGATTTTTCATACCCGAAGTGCAATGAAACGTTTCCGTCATGCAACCACGCTGCATAGAACATTGAATCCTTTCACGTGCTCCCTTCACAAGAGTTTCAGTAATCATATGACCAATAATTTTAAGACACTCCTGTGGGTGCAATACGATGGTGGGTAAAGGATTTCGTGGTTTCACTGTAATTACCCTTCGAGTGTCGTGAAGTCAGGAATAATGAAATTTCCTGAACTGAATTCCGAGGACGTTTCTGCTGTCTAAAACGACTACGCAGTCAACACTATAATATTAATTGAAATTTTGGATAAAGATTTGCATATATTCCTTACGGAGACGAACTGAAACAGTGTTGGACCCAAAATTATGAATGCACGTATCTCTTCGAACACGAGAGCATCAATGGCCCGATGCTTTGTCAAAACAGGAGTACTGTGCTTCCGATGAAGGACCACAAGGTTTGAAGCACGTGACAAAGCATGACATGCCATTACTTGTGTTTAACAAAATAAAGAAACACAAATGATGCATTGAACCACCATGATGTAAACACAAACGCACTCAGCTTGGCGAAATATATCGTCAAAATCCATAAGAAATTTGTTCAGTCCCATATTCCTCCCTTTACTCATTTCGACGCTCTACTCAATCTGGACGGCATCAGGTTCAGTGCGGTACAAAACGCTACAGTGTTGCGCCTCATTGCTGAATTTTATCTCAGACTAAATTAGGTTAAGCGATCTAGCTTGGAAATGGCAAAAGGACCAAACAACACATGCTCAACTGTGATCAGGAAGTCGAGCTACATCGGCGAAGCCGCCAACTCGTGCTATATCTGGTTTACCAACATACCGAAACATATAAGTGCAATCAGCAGTGTTCCAGAGCACTGACCCAGACGTTGGGACTTGAATTCGACCATTGTACACATGAGACAAATATCTGCTCAGATTGTGATTGCGGTAAACTATAAGTTCCATGATTTGATATTTTGTTACGAAATACTTGAGTGTGTATTGCACTGGCCCAGTATCTGTGCAAACCATCATATATCTGAAGTTTAGGGACTGTTTCTTGCTTGGTGACGATATTCTGCGCTCGGAGGTTCAGAAGCAGGCGGCACTGTTTTGTTTCCTGGTCCCATGTTTTCTGAGGAACCTTGCCAGACGGTAAGTAGTTTCACGTAAAGGTCATAACAAGGATTTCATCACAGAAAATGCCATTTGGTAAACTTGCACAAATGCTCAAAAGTAACTCGTACCGGCCAGTTTAGGATAGATGCCTAACAGTCAAAAATCGAGATTTCACTAAGCAATTTAATTTGCTTCCAAAAATTTCAATATGTCCCATCTCACTTCGTGGTTTCAAGAGGTCAATAATCCCAATATTCAGGGTCCAAAAGTCGATATGTTTGAAGGCTGTTATTCGGAAACAGACGCGGTATTTTTGGTGATGTGAGGCTAGAACATGAAGAATTTGAAAAAAGTGGGAAATCTCAGTCAGCAATGGCAGTTGATATTCCCAAAGAAGTACCCACAAACTAAAATTTGAACCCAGAGCATTCAAGAACGTTTTACCAGCCACATAGATAAACATATGGGTCATTTATGAGAGCAAATAAATGCAAAGCTTGATGGACTGAGAGGGACAAAAACAAGTAAAGTTGATGAATTTAGCAAACTCCATCAAGCAAATACACTCAAACATTGGACGTTGATTAGAAAAGAACTATTCCTAATGCTGCGAATCAACAGAACAAAACTAAATGCAGCATTCTTATTGTACCTAGATAATTTCTCTCCATTTGCTTTGGTTAGTAACTCGTGAGAAATGATGATCCGCACAGAATGTTTCATTGAATGGCCGAAATTAAGTTGAATTAAGTAGCCAATGAATTCCCCGAAGACTGTCCACCTTAAAGTACCAGGTGTACCCATTTTCACGAAAAGTAGTAAATAAGTGAAACCATGGTCCATGCTTCGTGATTAGATAGCCCTCAAAGTGCTAGAATATAAGCTCCAGCACTTGGAATAGTAGCCACTGACTGAAACATCCGGCCAAGCGGCACTTGGGCGACCAACCCTTCACAACATCAAACAGAGCCGAAGGTTAAAAATAATTTATTTCATCTACTAAACCCAAGGCGCAGAATGACATTCCAAAAAACGTTCAGGCACTAGTTGATCTACAAGCTGAATCTGGCTCGCCTGATCAGTTACTGGATGAGGTAGGTACTTTTCTAAAAATGAGATGAAATATAGATTGGACATTTGGACTTGGAAGAGGAGTGTTCAGATAGGGGTCCAACGTCGTGAGCGCGGGATAAAAGACTGTTAAGTAGGTTACCATTCATCCAGTATAGATGTTAATATCACATGAAATTAAAGTAGTTCATACTTCGTTGCGGGAATTTAGTATTAGCCATGTTCATCACACTACTGCTCCACCAAAATCTCGATAGGGAAGCCGGCAAGCATTCAGGCCAGTTGATCATTCAAATAATTCAGCTACAATCCCGCCCGCGACAACAAAATGTGAGAATTAATTTTCGCACCTACATCGATATAACCAAACGAACTAGAATTCTAAAATTCAGCGCAGCGTAACAAGCAACTTTTATGTATTCTAATTGACGGATATGTGCAGCATGTAGAATAATAAGACAAAAGAATAATGAACAAAGCGATGAATAGAGTATCAAGCATGTTCATCACATTCATGCCGAAACGGCCTTTATAGCACACAGATTTATTACGGAGTGTATGAGAGAAGAGCTTCCGCCTTGAACTTATTTTCAGCTTATTTTCAGTCCAAGTAATTAACGCATTAATTTTTTATTTCCTTGTATTTGTGCCTGGTGAATTCTAGGTGTTATTCCATGAGCTTCAATTCTACATTTTACCTCACGTAGTATCTTTTGAGAAAACGAGGCACTTTAATGTTAACGGCTTAAATTTTTATTCTATGGCAAAAGTTCTTGAAACGCTGATATGATTTGTTGCGAAGCAGGGATCCTTTGATTTTTCGTGAAAATCTATATTATGTTTTTTCAATAACTCAACAGTCCGGCTGACACTATAATCCTTACATGTTATACGTGATTTGTATTCGGAACAATTTCACTATTTTCGGATGGAATATTGACATGTTTCTTTTCATTGTTTTTTTGAATCTTGGATCATTGGATGCGGTATAATGACACAGGCACGAAAGCAAGAGAAAAAGTGTTATTATTAATCAAATATATTAGCAAGTGGGAGCAAAAAAACACCTTCAAAGAAACTATTCTGTAAATTGCCTCTTGGGTCGCAGTCGAGAATATTCTATAAACCGGCTGATTTGCTTCCAGAAAATATCCATCAGGCACTTTGTGATCACTGTCCGCCTTTAGTTGAAAATGTAAGTCTATTTTCTTCTGCTATAATCGATTTGCATAATGAACGTTCAACTATGGTTATTAACGTACTCATCAAACATTCTTTCTCGTGGGAGTCATTGAGAATGGACCGATATGCTTTTATAGATAAAAATGCACAAATGTCAGAAATATTGTTCCGACATTGTGCGCTGCGCTGGCTGTGGAATAATTTCTGTGTAGCAGCANTTTCTTCTGCTATAATCGATTTGCATAATGAACGTTCAACTATGGTTATTAACGTACTCATCATAATTCTTTCTCGTGGGAGTCATTGAGAATGGACCGATATGCTTTTATAGATACAAATGCACAAATGTCAGAAATATTGTTCCGACATTGTGCGCTGCGCTGGCTATGGAATAATTTCTGTGTAGCAGCAGGACGTAGTTGAAACTCACCTGTAGGTCTAGCAGAACCTCATGAAATTTGATACGATAGGGAGCATTTAAATGGTGAATTTGAGAACTGTGAATCCAGTACATACTGAAACATCCTAGAACTATGAGTTTGAGGTCTGCCTAACATGTGATCGATATCGTATTTATCCACTATATTTTGCTATATATACGGCCCATTCCAACGTCCCTTGGGGGTTCCAAGACTTTGACTCAATGGAGTACCTCCAGGCATGGACAATCCTCCCATTTGGGCTACCGTCGTAGGCATCGCAAGGTGCATCTACGGGGTTGAATTCATGCTTGCGGTAGCGCAGGAAATAATGAGATGATGAACAGTCCGACGGCAGAAGAGCATACTTTATTGCCGGCTGTCAAGCACGCATTCATGGGTTGTGTGACAATCCTAGAGCCTCTATTAGGTCAGTTTTATAATCTAACCGGCCACTGAAATGTCCCCCAGTGAGCCTTGAAAAATATAATAGAACATGTAACGACGTGGCTCAGTCAAGTCACATCTTTCCTAAGTTTCTGAATATTAATAGGTGAGCATGCTAGATGGGTTGATAACTCCTGTCATGTAATTGCTGTTTTCAGCAAAGTTGGGTTCGAAAGATTATAAAGGCGGAGCATTGCATCTTTAGTGCGATAAGTGAAAACCCATTCCTAAATTTTCATGAGCTGCTCTGTTATTATGAACGGACAGGATTTTTGTTGCTAAGACTGATACACATTCTAGGACTTTCATTTCAGGCGCGAGAGGTTAACATGTAAATTCACGACTTTGCTCTTGTCCGAACAGATAGCTGTTCGATTTCATTACTTGTCTGGTTTTTCTTCATACCTCTATGAAATCCCACATATTCCTCCGCAACTGAATGCACTGTAACATTCGTGCGCAGGTAAGGCAGAATTGAAATTGCACAAATGAATTTGACATTTCAAATGCCTTTCACTTGTAGAAAGATTGTCAATGATTGCCACAAAACCCTAAAAATTGCTTATTATTTGGATTTTATCAAAATGAAACATGAATTGTTGGTTTAGCTATTGTTTTGATACTGACTCTAAGTTTTTGTATAATTCAGTAAATTTGGAGGCAAATATTTATATTCTGACTTCAGCATCCAGAATATTTTGCAGCAAAATGACTGTGAAAGCCAGAAGTCCTACAACGCAACAAATGATCATCTTTTAAAGCAGCTATTTGATAAATACGTTCCAGAAGTGGACACTTTGGTGTGGATAACATTGCTAAACTACTAGGCTGCTCATTCCAGATCTATAAACCTAGTGGAATTCTCCTACAAGATGAAGGGCCTCTATTTCATTCCCTTACATTGTAATCCACCTTCATCAATGTGAGCATAGCAAATTCTTTGACCGAACTGCAACATCGATTGTAGCGTCCCAGACATTCTGATGCATTTGAAGCTTCAACGTTGTCTGCTATGCTGTTAGTTACACTAATATCCAGGCATTGAGAATCAGCTTCAACTCAGACTGATTTTGAACCACGCTCTCAGCTCCAAATCTTGCAATCAAATGCAATCACCTTTTCGTCTTGTTTCCAAAAGATGGATGGGTGAAGACACTGCAATCCAGTAGAAGGTTGCCAAGTGCGTGCCAATGTATGCAATTCAATTCCGGGTTTCACGTACTTGCCAATTTGGTTTGAAATAATTTAACGGTGATCAGATTGTGTGTATAACAAGCACGGCTTTTCTCTGAAGAATCGACGAAAAATGGATGGCCGCATTTTCAAGGACATTCAGGACGACAAGTGCAAACAAGTGAATGTGGAAACATGCCGGAAAGACCTGTGCAAACGCTTTGCTGTCAGGCACGACGTGCATGCAGTTACTCAAAAACACTTCGTCGAGGCAAATTCGAAGCTGTCTAACGTTATTACTTATTTTCTGATAGTAACATTGCGGCAGTCGGAATGCTACGGGTAACCTACCTAACACCGATGAAACTGCGTGCATTATGAAATCACTCTTGATGTGCTGCATATAAGGAATGGGCCAATGAAATAATTTAACGGTGATCAGATTGTGTGTATAACAAGCACGGCTTTTCTCTGAAGAATCGACGAAAAATGGATGGCCGCATTTTCAAGGACATTCAGGACGACAAGTGCAAACAAGTGAATGTGGAAACATGCCGGAAAGACCTGTGCAAACGCTTTGCTGTCAGGCACGACGTGCATGCAGTTACTCAAAAACACTTCGTCGAGGCAAATTCGAAGCTGTCTAACGTTATTACTTATTTTCTGATAGTAACATTGCGGCAGTCGGAATGCTACGGGTAACCTACCTAACACCGATGAAACTGCGTGCATTATGAAATCACTCTTGATGTGCTGCATATAAGGAACGAATGGGCCAATGACTTATTATTTTTGGTTGCAGGAGTAAGCTCAAACCGCGCTTTTGTTATCGTCCAGAGTTCATCGACTCTACCCTACGCGTAGTATCCAAGAAATCCACGCGTGGTTAAAGATTTGTGTAGATTACCGACTCCTCAATGACAATCTCTACCCCAAACAGGTACACAATTCCACGTACCGTATGTCGCGAAAATATTTTCCCCAAACGCGACCTACTACGTGCATTCCACCATAACCCGGTAGCCCGCAGTTGTTACAACGCCATTTCGTCATTTTCGATTCACGAATATGCCTCTTGATCTTCGAAACCAAACATTTCCAAATATCATGGGCAAAGTTTTGCGTGGTTTGACGTTTGTCTATGCTCCCCACGCGACCTTCCTATTTGAGCATGCGAGTCAACTGAGGGCGGTATCTGGACGTTCTTTGCGCCTACGGAACATTGATGAATGTTTATTCACTGGTACAGCTTTCGAATTGTTGGGCGCCACACTTACCCAACAGGCATATCAACATTACCTGATCGCATTTTGGTCTTAGTCTCTTTCCCGATAACCTCTTTCCTCCACCGCAATCACAACATATTGTCCTTTTATTGGTATTCTCATCTGTTAATTTTTTCGAGATATGGGTAGCTCGGGTGTGTTTACTGGTGGTTGATCGGATGGCGGCTGATCTGTTCACCGATCTTGGCGATTGGCTTGCACACATTTCGTTCCCTGTTGAGGAGACGTCAGTGCGCAGGTGATTAAGTGCTTCCTCCTTGCCTAGCTGCTTTTATATAGTTTTTGAAGAGTATCTTGTATCTTGTCATGTGATTGGGTAGTTAGTATTTACTTCCCGTTGCATTATTGTGGGATCGACCGCGAGTTGTTTGCAGAGTTGTGGTCTGTAGGCCTTTTTTCCACTGGTTTTTTGGATGGTTGCGTTGGCGTGCTCCGGGCCTGTTTGCAGTTGATGCGTTCCTGGTTTGTGTTCCGTTGTGGTTTCGCTTCCATGAATCCGAAACTGGCTACACTGCAGAATCAAACAGTATCTTTGCAGATGTTTGATATCGCCCATACGTGAACACATTCCGACCTTACACGAAGTTGTGCCTTACAAGTTGGCGAAACCTCAGCATTGTCATCTTAAGTCAACGTCCATATTATGCTTAAATTTTTAGGTTTGTTCAGATCTCATTACATCACCAGGTGGAACCTCCCATCGTGGCATGCATACCTCAACAGCTCTCCCAATCCTTCCCGAAGCTCTCCATAGAAGTGTTTTCTACCACTTTCATGGACTCCACATTCAGAAGTGAGGGCAACAAAAAGATGTTTGGTACACATTTCATGTGTCCCCACAAGAATAAGGAAGCCTGGACATGCCTTTGCATTGCGGCAGTGCAGTGAAGTAACTCGGCACATGAACTCACCCGTCAGTTTATATGCAGTTTCCGAAACTCGAATCCAGCGAGTTGTTGATTCACTTTCCCTCCCAAACGGTTTTAGTAATTTTCTTACCATGATTATCATTTTACCCGCTGGCCGTTAACTGCGCCCTTTTGGGATACACCAAAAAAACGGAAGCTTCGTGTTTTTGCAGCCTTGGGTGAGTAAATTGTGCATAATTTGCTGCATTACTACCGAACCTGGTTCAAAATTTCTGTGTAATCTCCTTACTGAGCTTTGTTGCACTATTCGGTTTTCAAAACCTTTCGACAGTCGCGTATCCCCTTGTTCCAACGGTCTGATTGGATGTTTCTATCATATGAACTGCCTAAATGAACACACTTGCATGGTCTAATTTTCTACCCTTTATTTTGATTGCTATTTGTTCCGATATTAGCGAGCTTCTTCACTGTTTACCAGGCAAACTGATGCAACGGTTAAATCTTCACGTTTGCTTGGTGAAGCCCTTTCTCTTCATACTCCGCTGTACAAAATCGTGACTTATTAATGTATTTCGGAGGTCGGAACCATATTGGGATTGTTGCTACGAAGAATTTACTATGGAGAGTAATTTAGCAAGTCTCGGGCCACTCAGCTGAACACCCAAAAGCTGATGCAAATTCCAACATTTAAATTTGGATTTTCACCTGTTGCACAGGAATAATTGAGGTTAGAGATCTTCAATACTGTCCACATATTTCATGTGTTCCGTGAAACACGCCTGCCATATCTGAATTCGGGGGTTGATGCACGGTCGGCTGTGAATCAAGCGCAATAAATGGCTTTGTGAAAATAGCGAACCCACGAATCTGCCATGGTGTACACATTACTGCTCCTCTCCCTCAAGTTTTGTATGTGAAGTCACCTAATAAATGGCTTTGTGAAAATAGCGAACCCACGAATCTGCCATGGTGTACACATTACTGCTCCTCTCCCTCAAGTTTTGTCTGTTGAAGTCACCTGGTCCTTTCATGAGCACCCTCAAATTCAAGCCACCTTTGTCGTAACAACCCATATTTGTGAGTTTGCCGCCTGCATCTCCAACCCTTGTCTGGATGTCAGCATCCTTTCTGTGTGTATACTGGCAACACAAAGGACGCGTCTTCACATCTGGTTTTCCATATGCGGACACCCGAAGGTCAGCCTGAAAGGCCCGTTTTCCCAACCAAATTCATATGATCGGACACACATTGCAAACGTGCACGTGGATATCAAAATCTTGGAAAACCTGCCAATGTACTGTAAACTAATTATTACTCGAGATTTGTTATCTAGTTAACCATTTCCTGTCTCGCTAGGGGGTATAAAAGCTGGCATATTTTCCCTAGATAATAAACTCCGGACTTCATTGGAAAACCAGTCGCTTACGTGGGACCATTCGTGTGTACCTGGAGGCGTTGGACACAGGTTTTGTTTTAGCCCTCGTCAACTGCATAGGCCTCCTCATAAGATTCTGAACCACCTATGCTAACGAAGTAGCTGCATAATGATGTGAACTCCACTTAGGCTTCTTGAGGGTGTTTTGTAGGTATATTGATGATAAATCATTTCTATCTACGAAAACAAACATAATATACTTACTTTTTGTTAAACTTCTGAGTACTTCAGGGCTCATGAAAACTTATCATACACACATGAGATAGGCATATCCAGATAAAGTAATTTCCAATAATTTAAAAAGGCATTTTTTACCGTTTCAAGAATGTAAACTGAATTTGAAAACGCAGATATGCAGCACCATAAAGTCTGCGGAAAAACTTGAACCGCTTTACAATTGCAGAGGAAACTTTAGGGTATGAGGAAGCGAGGTGATGCATTTAGTGAGTCGGGTACGTTCAACCGGACAACTAAAATTGACTCCTCTTAAAACATCACCATTTTCGCGAAAATATTTGCGAATCCATAAAACTTCCTTTGGCTCTTATTATTCCACATAAGTGCTGGGGAACTTCACGCAAAGTCAATTGACACCATCCAGAAATTTAGGAAATACGAGTGGTAGACCTTATGGCCATCAAGATTACTTATGACGCTAATTTAATTAAGCATTCACCAAATAATTGTTTTGGAGCATAGGTTCTCAAAATGTACCTGGGTATGAGACCAACAGAGGGTGTGATCTACTTGCAGCCGGCAAACATGGAATATTTGTTAGATACAATTATACCAACAGGGCTCAATTATGGACCGATGCGACGAATAAAAGATTGGATATCCTGCTCTCTGTGGCATAACTTGTCAAGCAATATGCGGACGTGCTGTGCCCTTCTACTATGGTAATGTTTCATAGCCAAAATTATCAAAACCCTCCACTTTCGAGCCGCTACGTCCCAAGTATTGGGGTGCTATCTATTTTAGCAGGTTATTCGGTTGAGTTTGCTTTATCCAGTCATAACCCTTTCAGATTATATGGAAATATTTGTTTAAACCTGGGTCATTAGGAAAGAGCTCATGATTTTTGAGGAAGATGGTTGCAAAATGTCATAATTCACTTGCATTTCCCGTGTCTACATTTGCTTCGGGAAACTAGAAGAGATAAAACTGGGAGCTGCAAAAGTGCGCATGGTTAAAAATGCACTCTCAGTGTGTCTGCTAAATGAGCCAAATCAAACACATATTCTGAGACTTCATCTTACAATATGCTTTAAGTATTCATTATTGTCACCATAGTGCGCATCGCTGTTCTATTCTGAAATAAAATGGGCCTATCGAATGCGCAAATTTATGGATTACACGGCCTAGAAAATTAAAAATGGGAACGTTGAGCAGTTGGGGCAAAATGTACACAAGCAAGAGGAAAATCATTTGAACCGTCAAAAGGAATCCGAGCCCCAAACTACTAACTTAACAGCACAGGGCACCAAGTTGAAAATTTTAGATTCTTTCAAAATTTGCACATGGAATGGTTGGTATTCCTGAAGTTCACTGGATTATCCACCCTCAAGAAGAATTACAACTTGGGCATGAAGATTGCTTAAAAGTAAACTTAATTGTTTTGCGTCCATATATGCTTCCGGTTGACCGGGATCCGATGGACTAACTGACGACGACGTCGGGAAGCAGTTTTCCAGGTGTGTGGAAATGTCCTGGAGGCGTGGAGG